TGAAGTGAAGCAAGCTCATTCATGTAGGATTTCTGGACAACACGATATTCCGAGTCTTCCGGGGCAGTTGACTCTTGGTTGGCTTCAAAATTAACATAGATCAAGTGGTACAAAATCAAGGTAAATCAAAGGTGCCGTAAAAGCAAGTAGGCCATATTTAAGAACTTGCTTTGCTTTTGCGAATAGTGTAGACCTATTTGAAAATAAGAAGTTTGACTTATTGCGGTTGCATACAAATAAGACGGAACTTATGACAAAACTCAATACATTGCATTCATTGATGAATGCTCTGAAAAGAGTCATGCCTCTACGCGATGCTTTATCAAATGAAGATTACAAGTATGGTGTGCGAACACGTCAGCACTTGTTCAGCAGTCCAACTGCACGATTACGGTATAACCTAACTCAAGATTGATCCAGCGCGGACTTTTTGCGAAAGTCACTTATCGTTACGCAGAGGCTTGCAGCTATACCAGTTGAGTGTTAGGTTATACTTTAATGGCGCAGGAACAAGGGATTCGAGGTGCTTCTTGATTAGGAATAAATAATCATGTCCGCTTTTGAGTGTTTTATCTCGGCGCCCATTCATCAATTTCCACGTTGAAAACCCATTGTCCATATTTTGCCGGAGATTGCCATTGAATGATGGAGTGCGCGTATTTCGCTCTGTCATCCCAGTGAAAGTCGAGGAAGCGATCTCTTTCATGAATCAGCGTGCTTGTATTTTTGAGCGAATGTTGGATATGAGATTTGACACTAAAAATGGACTAATACATGAAGTGATCACTAAGGCCCCGGGCACACTTCACGCGATTTGATAGTCGCGTCCGAGTCGCGACGAGACAACTGTTACAACATCATTCCATGCCGATCAACTTGCATTCGGTTGTGATACTTTTCCAGACCGAAATTTTTGAATGAGAAATGAAAATGAATGGAAATCTCGGCGATTAGATCGCGACGATTAAGTCGCGTGAAGTCTGTCTGGGGCCTAAGAGGAATGGATTGTTACCTGAAATGATCATTCAAATGAGGTGTGGACATCTCATTTGAATGATCACTTCAGGTATTACTCCATTCTTCTTACACTAAAATGGTTGGAAGTCGAAATGGCCAATCTATACAATCTATGCATCATAAATCTTATATATTAGGTTGGTGCAAAAGTTCTGTCGTTTCATTTTCAAATTTTTGTAACTCCGCGAAATTTCAACGGATTTGCTTGCTTGTGATTTTATTAGAAAGACTAGGTCTTCCGCTTTCAATCATTGTTTTGTGGAGCTTCTGTTTCACACTGAGTGCAGAGATAAAAATGGAAAACTAAGACCATGTAAACTTTGATCATTTTAAGTTAGGTCACCAAAAATCTGGAATGCTGCAGAAAAATTTGAAATCGTCAGTACATATGTTTTTGGATCTACCCTTTGCACCTGTGAAAAAATTGTGCTGTTTGGACGTTTCTGCGAGAAGTTATGATTTTCGCGGAAATTGACAAATTAATTAATTTTGGCCTTTTCCATAGTAAACTCGATACTCATAATTTCTTACAGAGACGTCCAAACAGCACAATTTTTTCACAGATGCAAAGGGTAGATCAAAAAACAAATGTACAGACGATTTCAGATTTTTCTGCAGCATTCCAGATTTTTGGTGACCTAACTTAAAATGGTCAAAGTTTACATGGTCCTAGTTTTTCACTTTTATCTCTGCATTCAGTGTGAAACAGAAGCTCCACAAAATAAAGATTGAAAGCGGAAGACCTAATCTTTCTAATAGCATCACAAGCAAGCAAATCCGTTGAAATCTCGCGGAGTTACAAATTTTTGAAAATGAAACGACAGAACTTTTGCACCAACCTAATATAAAGCTGAATGTCTGTTTATCTGTATGTCTGTATGTACAGGGTGTCCCAAAAAATGTGAACACTGTTTTATCGTTAGTAACTCCCTTGCTTTCATGTCTTTCGCCAAGCTTGAGACACCATTCTGGAGAGCGAGGTTTAGCTTAGATTTTTAGTATGGAGCGAATCATCGATCGCTTTTCATTATTGTAGGATTACGGTAGGAACTTTGACAAGGATTTTAGGCTATTAGAGGCCATATTCTGCCTCGGAACAAAAACAAACAAGCCAAAAGCTCTTATACTATGGTAATGGAAGCCGCTGATTGCGAATATGAAATTTCCACTGTACTGTGACGCTTCTTTCCGAAGTTATCCCAGGTAAACCGGAATAACAGAATTCCCACCATTTGTCAAAAATGTGATTACCCCGTCAAAAAAGCTAAAAACTCTCGTAAAAAGTTGTGTAATGGATTCAGCGTGCGCGAAAACCCTAGTACACGATTTTTCAGATTTTTTGGAGAAAATTTTATCAAATGGCATATTTCACAATGGATTCACACGCTGGAAGTTCCTACCGTAATCCAGCAGTAGCGAAGGGAGATCGGAGTTTTGCTTCATACTGTAAATCTAAGTTGAACCTCTGTCTACGAAATGGTGCCTAAAGCTCGGCGAAAACATGAAAGCAACGAAGTTATTAACATCAAACAGTGTTCACATTTTTTGGGACACTCTGTATGTCTGTATGTATGTCTGTACGTATGTTCCGAATAGAAAATTCCATTTCTGAACCTTCTGAACCGTCTGGACCAAACTTGGCACACATACACTTCGGGCCCCAGCGGGTGTCATAGGCTACTTTTCGTCATCGATCAATATCGATTTTATCGATTTTTTGCAAAATTTGAGCTACAGGGCTGGGAGTTGGCACAGGGGGGTAATCGAGCATGCTGATTACAAATATATTATTGACAGGGCCGGGCGGAGCCGGGTAAGCCATCTAGTGCAGCATAAAACGCTGATTTTGAAACTATCTTCATTCGCCTGAACACTTGTAAACGAAGCTATAGATAGTTAACTGATTATAATGTATAGATGTATGATGATAGTATAGTTTTGTCCGTCTTCATTCTTCTGTAGAACCCATCTATTTCGATTAAGCTAACAAGGGAAGGATACTCGGTCGAGGTGGCCATTTGGAATGAGCTGTATATTAGGAAACCGTCCTCCGTAAGGCAAACTCAAAACTACTTTCGCTAGGTGCCGAGCGGTTTGTGGGGGGAGTTACAAGGCCATTTTCCCCCGGCGCAGCCAGGGCACCCAGTGATGAGCGAAGCGCTAGAATAGCCCAGCAGTGTGGCAGTAGCGCAGTGGCAACGCAGCGGACTACGAAGCAGAGGGTCGAGGGTTCGAGTCCTGTTGCTGCTAATTTGTTTTGCAGTTCTGTAAAAATCTATTGGGTGACAGCAAACGAGAAATACTATTTCTAGGCAGTCGAAACAAGCTATTTACTGCAAAAAAGTCACTATTTCTACAACAAGCTATAATCTTCTACATTATGTCAATTTGTGGAGGTTAAGATGTCACAACAATGGATTCAAATACAACCACAAAATGTCCAAAGCAGAAGAGCTTCTCGCAGCGCGCGCACTTGCAAATTTGCAATCGATTGCATTCAGCGCTTCATTACCTATCAAGGCAGGACCACGCAGGTAAAGGCAAGTGCCAAGTATGCGCATATAGCAAAAAGCTCCGCTGCCAATCATTACGATGTTCTCGCCACAGCTTGTTTTCTCGTACCTTTCGGAAGAATTCGGGCCATGTGACGTCTCCCGAAAACCGACACGGATGGAGCAAACTCGCATTCTGCGGGAAGCGGTGTACGATAATCTGGCAATTGACTGCGAGGAAGATGAAGTTATAGAAGATTACGAAGCAGATCCAACATGGTCATATGATATATCATTTGAATCCATTATTGTGACATCTTAACCTCCACAGATTGACATATTGTAGAAGATTATAGCTTATTGTAGAAATAGTGACTTTTTTGCAGTAAATAGCTTGTTTCGAATGCCTAGAAATAGTATTTCTCGTTTGCTGTCACCCAATAGACTTTTTACAGAACTGCAAAACAAAATAGCAGCAACAGAACTCGAACCCTCGACCATCTGCTTCGTAGTCCGCTGCGTTGCCACTGCGCTACTGCCACACTGCTGGGCTATTCTAGCGCTTCGCTCATCACTGGGTGCGCTGGCTGCGCCGGAGGAAAATGGACTTGTAACTCCCCCCACAAAACCGCTCGGCACCTAGAGAAAGTAGTTTTGAGTTTGCCTTACGGAGGACGGTTTCCTAATATGCAGCTCATTCCAAATGGCCACTTCGACCGAGTATCCTTCCCTTGTGAGTACTAGCTAAAGATGCGGTATTTGTAATATGAGTTTGAAATCACCTTTGATCTGATGATCATCTTGATAATCATATTCAGCTGTTAAGAAGATGAAAAAGCATACCTTAATCTCAAAAAGAGGCCTTTATAGAGACAGTGGTTGGCTAAGTAAACCTGAGAATTTGTTGCAGCAGGTTGCTCACACCTCAAATATGGTAAAGTCGACTGCACGAAATTGTCAGGATCGCCGTAGGCTGAGCGCATGGCTGCTGAGTACTGGCGCCATGATGACTCAAGCGCGCGAAACGCCAATGTTAGCTCGCAAGAAACATGCTTGCGGGAGTTCAGCCCGGTCGATTACGTGCAGTCAACTGTGGGAGAGCGAGTCGGAGGGTCCAGTATGCTGCCATTGGACAAGTAGGCTGGACTCGTGCGCCATTCTTGCCCGCGCTCGGACGAGTTCGCGATTTCCCTCCCACATAGGAGGCGGCATGCGATGGCGAGATTCGGGAAAAATGGCTGCATGTGTACTTTACGCCATAATCTCTATAATACCAAAAAAATGGAAATGCGCAGCATCCAAAAGACAATTATATAGAAATTGGAAATCATGTGCGAACTTAGTACGATAAACATCTTGTAATTTCGTTATATTCAAATGTGCATCTAATGGAGACAGAAAAACACCTCAACTAATATAAGGAGCATGAGTTCTGTTTGGCTTTTAATTTATAGAAAAAGTTTTATATCCTGTTTGATGACTGCTTTACAGAATGTTGATAATTCAAGAAAAGCCATTGAACAGCTTGTGAAGACTAATTCCGAGCAGCAGTATAGCTTCATACTGTATGGCGATGAAATACGATATATTGGACCATTTGAAGCCAGTGATGTCTTGGATAAGATGGGATCTATTAGGACAGAACGTCAAAACAGTTCAAGTTTTAATCAAGTTGGGTAAGTCTTGAGACATTGTAAGGATTAGTTGGAAGACAACTAGTTCTGATCAAAATCAAAACCTACTTTTTAGTTTCGATAACGGTGAAATAGCAGTCACTCCTGGCGGTATTTTCGAATTTCGAATCTGACCGCCTCAACTGATCGATTAGACCAACAGTTTCTGTTTTTCAGCGCCATTAAAAAGTTTCAACAAGTAAAGGGTAAAAAGGATATCTTGGTGCACTTCATTCCATGCGACTTTGAATACTCGTACGTTTTACAGATAGATCTAGACAAACCTTATGTTAGCTATAGAATTAAAGAATGTTAGTGACAATGCAATCAGATCCTCAAACCACTTCGTTTAGAGCAAAAAATAATGAAACGCTGCTGTTTACTGAAATAATGAAAAATATTGGCAAGACAACTCTCGTGTCAAACACAGTGAATGCAACGGTAGTGGCTACAGCCTTCAATATCAGAAAGGAAGATATGAAAGACATGGTTATCGGTAAGGATCAGGATATCGCTGAAAGGATCAAGGATATAGGTTGGTGCTTTTCTGTAAGTTTGCTCCCGTTGCATATCTTGAAACCAGTGAGTGGCGAATGTAGGTCTTTTTTACTTTTTGAAGTCAATGGCACAGAAATTTGGCAACGTATTCGTAATATGACTTCCAACAAAAGTTAGATTTGCCAAACCACTTGGAGATTGATGACCATATTTCCAGCAAGGGAGTATAGTGCAAGTCCAGGTAGTTGAAGTGGACAAGCAGAATGCTTTCTGCAACGTAGGAAATTCCGCCTGCGCGGGCATCTGGCAAAACTGTGTGTTTTCTGTGTGAGGACCAGTCGCATCCAGCTGTAGCGTCTGTCAGTTATCCGAAACAAAAATACGACTTCTAAAGCCCAAATACGGTTTGAAACCGACCTCCTTCAATTTCTGCTCCCCTCTCCTTACAAAGACGAGATTAGTTGCGCGCACCTCGTATGTACAGCATAAAGCGAGCTTTTCTTTTCATCGCTAATTTTTGTAGGACACATGAAAAAATAATCAAAATGAGAGCTCCCCAAAGCTAAGAACTAGCATGTCGCTTTCCGAAAAACAAGGAATCCGAAATTCAAGCATATTTTTTCAGAAGCGAAAAATCTTGTTTCACGTTCTTGATAGCAACAGAAGTAATCCGAACAAGTAACTGTACTCGTTAGGGCCCATCAAGCACTATAATCGTATCGTGTTTTTCCGAAAAGACAGATCTTGTTTTTTATTTCAAATTTTTGTAAGATAGCTTTTGTCGCTCGCTGAGAAAGAGTTACTCCGCATGGAAGCCGTTGCAATGCGTTTTAATAAAGCCGACCATTCTAACATCATATGCACTTCTTATTTCCGTGATATCCTAAGTAACTAGCGACTAGTATTGGTGCACATGACTTCACTTGCACCTCACCACTGATTATTTTTATTTGCAAGCTTGTAGCTCGGCTAGCAGTCATCGTACAAGTCTTAAAATAGACCAATTTGTGAGAGCTAGACTTATCCATATACAAAAGGGTTAGCTGCAGTGCAGCTTCACTAATAATCGAGATAAATCTGGTTTAGAGTTTTCTCAACAAAAAACTATCTCAACACTTCGTAATGGAGTCACTGGAAACGAAAGAAATAAATAAATAATCTTCTGGGATAAATAAAGAGACCTTAGGCTACAATTATTTGGGAAATCTCATGTCTATCATTGAGGCTTAATTCTACATTAATTGAAAGAGATTTGTGATTTGCTTGAAGTTGCCAACAAAGCGGCCACTTCTTTTTTGTCTCTTATTTCCTTATAAAACAAATAACCAAAAAGCATGCTGCTATGGAACTTTTCAAGGCTGAATAACATGCCGCTTTTTGGAAAATAGGGTTTCAAAGCCATTTTTAGCTAGCGCTTGAAAAGCTCCAACCGCGCCACAATGCCGCGGACAACAATTTTTTCAAAGCGGAAGTTTTTTTTTCAGTTTTCTTTGTGACCATAAGCATAAGGAATCTGAAAATGTAAAAATACTACTCGATAAAGTTCATCAAGGGCAACGTCTTACTGTTTCTTCCGGAAAAAGACAAATACTGGTATTTATCTCCTATTTTTCATAAATGAATATTTGCTTTTTTGGAACGAGTTTTTCGCATGGAATCCGTTGCAATGCATTCTAATACGGCTTTCTGAATCAAATGTGTTTTAACTATTCTGAAGGCATTGTACGTATGCTGGTGAATCTCCTAAATGAAAGTTAGAGTCAATGTTGATGCATGACTACACTCAACGAGACTGCCGGCTAGAAGGCGACCGCAAGCGCCCGCAACGCAGTCTGCGTCTTCCTCGCGAGCGAGCTTTCTAATCATTCTTTAGCTCTAAATAGGTCACGAAGCCCCGCCTTCCAGCCGCCAATCCAGTTGAATCAAAGGGTCTCGCTTTTCAGGCACTGAAAGTTCCTATCGTAATCTTACAGTCATAAAAAACGATCGTGATTTGCTTCACACGTGAAAATAAATTGAACCCTACCAAATGGATGGTAATTGGAGTCAGGCAAAAGACTTCTTGAGAAAATAGAAAATAGTTAGCGATCAAACAGTGTATACATACTTTTAGAACTCCTTGTATAGTAGTTTCACGGTATATTAGGTCGTTTCGAATCTTATTTCCTTTCGAGCTACAATATAGCACGTATCATAAATACAGACCTATTTTTCAAACGATATTCGACACAGCTTTTCTTCCTAATTTTTAGCAGACATGTTTCTGGTTCGGTTGTTCCTGTGGGTAAAATAATCGCCGAAAATTCAAAGCCACGGCTTTTGCCATGTCCAATTCTAGCAAGTTTTGAATTTCATTCTATACTTCTGAAAGAGGAAAAAAACAAGGTACAATGCAATGAATTTTTGGGCATCTCCAGCTGGCTTTTCAAAAATTTTATGATTATTTTCCTGATGCTAACCAGTTCCATACTGGTCAAGCCAACCTCAGAGAACACCGATCGACGAGTAACTCGGTTGTCACGTTTTTTCTCCTTTCGAGTGAACGTATTTTCTTTCCGATGCGACCTCTGCGGACGAAATCATCATGATTTTAAGTTTCTGGCCGCATCAATGCGTGTCCAAAATTTCAAGTTGGTCATTTCGAAGCGGCGAACGCTCATATTCTTTGTGAACAGCGTTAAATAAGATTTGATGTCTTCGAGCTCTTAAGACTTTTTCAGTGTTTGCTGCGTTCGTAAATGGCACTACTTCGCAAAACTAAAAAATTGGTGAAAAATATTAAGAAGCTAGTCGGAGTTGTCTAAAAACCTTAGTTGATGGTTGTTCAAACTATTCACCTGTTATCAAAGCTCCTCCAAAAATCTAAAATAAAAGTTCGAAAGATTAAAAATTTGGACGTGGTAAAAACATGGGAAGGCGATTATTTTTGTGACCACAAGAGCGATCAACCAAAAGCGACTGCAGAAAAGTGGAACAAAGGCTATAAAGAAAGGCTACATGCTTGAACTAATTGCCTGCCTTTATTCCACGGGATTTCATGATAGCTAAAGGAAAGAACTCGGAGCATTCCTATGTCCAGAAAAGTCAAGGATTAAGAAGAATCGAGTTTTTGCCAGTTTCATTGAAAGAATGGAGTTTCCAGCCATTTGTCATTCACTCAAACAAAAAAACTTAAACGCTGGGAATCGGACCGCCACTATTAGCTCTACTTGCTAGCACTGTCCATCGACTTAACGAAAGCTTTATATAAGGGTGTCGAATTAGTGAAAACACGCACATTATGTAATTGTCAGACCTTTGCGAGATCAATCACAAGTCCTTTGCTTCGCCTACAATATTGCCAGAATCAAGATGGACAAACTTGATTACCAACCACCTGCTGGAGGCTTGTGAAGAACTCTTGCGCTTCTTCTCCTATTAATGGGAGTTCTGCATTTTTTTGTGGAGCAGCACGGCAGCAACAACCATTGATGGGACTAAGTGGAAATATTGGGGTGCAAAAGTATTGAGCGTTTCTTATCATGCTGGGGCAGAGATTATAATCAGGAACATATAATTCGATAGATCTAAGCAGGCTCTCAAGACGCATTTGGACGATCGCAAAGTTCGAATCACGTGCGGTTCGAAAGAAAATTTTTGAGAATTTTACCCAAGCACCCTGTATAAAAGACCTACCGAACCTCGAACTTCGTCACGCATAAACTCTACATACCAGAGGCTTTTTTACAGAGTGCGTCAAAAGTCTGGGAGCCTAGTACTTTTTTATACAAAATGAGAAGAGAAGTGCCTAAAAACGAAAAATTTGGCGCACACATAATTCTAACCATTGCAGATACAGCTCATTTTTTGAATTTCAAAATTGCCTCTTACGGCTTCCACGCGGCCCTGCAAAATTTTGACAATTTCACCTGTCATCGGCACGCAGTAGTCGTAATGAAATCCGCCATACGCTTTCACAATAATTGTTTCTTTTACCTTGGCAAATGTACAGCATGATAGAGCAAGCTTTTTTCTATAACACACTTCCAAAGGAATTTTTTTGGATGGAAATAAAAATATTGGATTTTCAATTAGAACCGTGTGTAGGTCGCATACCGGAAATTTGGCTACAATTGCGCGAAGGAAAGCGGAAATTTATCATTTAAAAATTATATGTTCCGCTGACCGAATTTTAATAGATTCTCAATTAAAAGACGTATGCAAAGAAAATAGCCTTGGTCTCAGTGCTTGTCGCGCTTCTATAGCCTCTAAATTTGTGCCGAAGACGGATAGCCATTGGCACGCGGGTAACATTCGCAAACATTTATTCTCCATTCATGCAAGAACAGCTCCTGGCAAAAGCGAAACTACGATTCAGTAGCGCAAAGCCTTTTCTATATCGTGTGCATCGAAGTGCTGTAAAATATCGGCAGCATCTCTAGCTATAGCTAAAATTGTAAATACTAAAAATCCTGGTTTTTTCGAATTTGCAAAAGTACTAATTTGGTAATTACCAAACTTACAAAAACATATGGCAGCCATTTCCAGCTAGATAAAGTGTATTTTATAGAGGACTAGCTGGCTTACCCGGCTCCGCCGTATGTTCCGAACAGATGCTGATCACAGCATGCTGATCACCCCCACGGGGGTGATCAGCATGCTCGATTACCCCCCTGTGCCAACTCCCAGCCCCATAGCTCAAATTTTGCAAAAAATCGATAAAATCGATATCGATCGATGACGAAAAGTAGCCTATGACACCCGCCGGGCCCGAAGTGTATGTGTGCCAAGTTTGGTCCCGATCGGTTCACAAATGGAATTTTCTATTCGGAACATACGTACAGACAGACATACATACAGACAGACATACAGACAAACAGACATTCAGCTTTATATATAAGATGACCGCAGCATCATGTGACATAAAATTGAGATCAAAATCCCCAGTATTAAAGTTAGGCTCCCAGACTTTTGACGCACCCTGTACATTTATTGCTTTTTTATTTACATGTACTTTTTGCGACATCATGTCGTCTTCTTTGGGTCTCCACCCTGATTCAGGTAATTTTCCCTGAATATCGTCTGTAGAAGGCTGACAAATTATTATATTTGCAGAAGTTTTAGCTGGAGAACTACTTACGTCGGAAAAGCCCAACATTGCTCTGCCAAAGCAAAAGCAATGCTTGACTCTTCCGACGTTTTCCCACTGGACTCTTCCGACGTTCCAACACTTTCATTTTCTAATTTATAGCAACGGAAAATGCATCAAAAGTAAATGAGCAGCTGATGCTATAGGCCTCGGCAGAGTCAACGCGATTTCATTGTGGCGATTTATCGCGACAATTGTTAGAGTTCATTGCATGCCGATCTTCTTGTATTTCGGTTTAGTTTGATAGTTTGCCAATACGTCTAATCGAGACTAGGTATCATAACCGAGATGCAAGAAGATCGGAATGCAATAATATTGTTGCAGTTGTCGCGATGAATCGCGACGATGAAATCGCGTGGACTCTGCCCGAAGTGATAGGTGAGCTATTGGAGTATGTTAAGGTTTGTAGAAATTGTGCGGACAAAACCGGATTTTTGGGAGTCCGATATTTCTAGTTCTTCAAATCTCGCAGGTATCGAACTTTGCGGTTGTTTGAATCTAGCACAACTTGTTCTGATCTATGATTGATGAGTTACAAACACTTCAACTTTTCTGCTACGAAAGAACAAAGAGCCGTCATTACTTCTGAACCGACCTGAGAGTAAGCTCACACAAGTATACACAGAATTTTCTGAAAAGTTAAGGCCTTGTCAATGCTAACAGCAGTCATTGTCTAGGAGATTTACCACATGAAGAAGTGGCATCAACCGCAAGGACTACTACCCAGTCATTAACAACTTCTATAGCCACGAGAGAGCATACCACAACTTCAATGACCACCACAACAACATCAGCTTGGACAACTACTTGTGCAGAAACGGTGACAACGGAATGTGTGTGTACAACTATAAATCCCTGCACAACTACGACACCGACAACTACTACCACCACTACTCCTACAACAACAACAACCCCGACCACTACAACAACAACACCTACTACAACAACCACTACAACCACCACGACGACGCCTACTACCACTACAACAACGCCTTCGACTACAACAACTACCCCCACTACAACTACTACGACGACACCTACAACCACAACAACGACACCAACCACTACTACTACAACGACAACGACAACAACTACCACAACAACGCCTACAACCACCACAACAACTCCGACCACTACAACAACGCCTACTACAACAACAACAACCCCGACTACAACTACTACGACAACACCTACAACCACAACGACGACACCAACCACTACCACAACACCTACTACAACAACCACCACAACCACCACGACGACGCCTACCACGACAACTACAACTCCAACTACTACCACCACCACAACAACAACACCTACAACAACGACGACCCTGACCACCACTACAACAACGCCTACAACAACAACAACAACAACTCCAACTACTACTACAACAACACCAACGACAACGACAACTACCACAACAACGCCTACAACAACAACAACAACTCCAACTACTACTACAACAACACCAACGACAACGACAACTACCACAACAACGCCTACAACCACAACAACAACTTCAACCACTACAACAACGCCTACTACAACGACAACAACCCCGACTACTACAACAACAACCCCGACTACGACGACCACCACCACAACAACGCCTACAACCACAACAACAACCCCGACTACGACGACCACCACCACGACAACGCCTACAACCACAACAACAACTCCAACCACTACAACAACGCCTACTACAACGACAACAACACCGACTACTACAACAACAACTCCAACGACAACAACCACCACCACAACGACGCCTACAACAACATCGACCACTACTACGACTTCTACGACCACGACAACGCCTACAACCACAACAACAACTCCAACCACTACAACAACAACGCCTACTACGACGACAACTACCACTACGACAACACCTACGACAACAACAACGACACCAACTACTACTACAACAACTCCCACAACAACAACTCCAACTACTACTACAACAACGCCCACTACAACGACAACCACCACCACGACAACACCTACGACAACAACTACAACACCAACTACTACTACAACAACTCCCACAACAACAACAACTCGAACTACTACTACAACAATGCCGACAACAACCACGTGGATATCAACTACTACAACTCCAGAAGCTACAACGACATGCAAACGTACAAGCGAATGTCCTTGCACAGTAGTGACTGTGTGTTACACTGAACCCACAACAACAATGACAACACCTACAACGACTACTGCTGATGTTACGACAACACCTACAACGACTACTGCTGATGTTACGAAGACAAAGGATGTTACACAGATATTCATGCGTGTTCCCAGTATTAACCCAGGTGAAACTATTTATCTTAAGCTCATTGATTTTTGGTCTCAACTCAAACGTTAAGCCTTCAACAAAAAGTGTCCGAATAATCAAATCATTGAGGACTTCGTAAGAGACTCTTTTTTGCTAAAGCATAACGCACTCAGGTAAGCACTTCGGTGTTTTCTGCCCCGTTTTTTTTCACAGAAAAATGCAGGGAAGAACTTGCTCAAGGACTTGTTACTATGAGGAACGGTACTGTTGCTCAAACAGCCACGCGGATGAATCGCCTCGTGAGATGTTATTAACGAGCAATGTTATGTGTTACTTTGTAAACTCATCCTCAGACATATGACTGCGATGCTGAAAAAAGTGCTTATGATTGGGCAAGCAAATGTATGGACAGAGACTCCACACAAACTACATACAGTGAAAATAGATATGCAATAAATGACACCAGCGTGACAGTCGCGGCTGCGGCATACGAAGTATTGCACAATTTTATTGAACTCTACTATGCACTTGATTTAGAGCGTTTCCATGTGGTGGAAAGAAGTTGAAAACGCCAACATGCAGCAAATGCCAGGACAATCAAATCAGTACTATAGCCACCTTGACTTGCGCCATTTTGCTAAAGTTCGTTGTGAACATAAATTTTCCATTGCATTATATGAAATGCTATATTTTTGAGATGGCATGGGACACACAGAGGACACTTGGCTGCGCTGTGGTGGAGTGCTCAAATTTCGTCAATGTTGTTTGTCATTACAGCGGAGCGTGAGTATAAATAACGGAAAAGTTTTGAAACTTTAGCATGGACCTTTAGCAACATTGCCGAAGGTTCACCTATCTACGAAATGGGGCCGCCGTGTGCAGATTGTACCCATCAAGGAACATCGACATGTGTCAGTGGACTGTGCAAACTTGACTGAAAATCTAATGTCGATCAAAATTCAAATTGTGGCATGCCTTTGCAAGTTTACATAAAGAAATCCACAGCACGATTCTCTAATGACGTTGACCTGATAAGTAGAGAAACCCCAGAGTAAATAGGTATACAACTGTATCGTCGATTCGTCGACCGGACTGCTGTAACCTTGCGCTCCACGCGCGGCGCAGCTAACGCGAGAGCACGACTTGCACAACGGCGAATTTGTACTGTAGCAAGCGTCTTGCGGCCTGTGCTCCGCAGCGATGTCTAGTCCGTTCGGTCAACGAATCAATACATTCTTTATTTCTCGAATTGCGCTGAAGCCTTAAGCATATCTACATCAATGGACAGATACAGCCTCTAGAACGATACCTTCGAGCTTTCGTCACTGCCACAGGGAAATGTATAAACTAGTAGGCGTAGTAATCCACACTAAGTGTACAAAAAGTAAAGCGCGTTAGTGATCGGGCCTTATAGGCTACAGAGCTGATACGTGACATATGCACATTTGGCTTGATCCTCATTCGTAAACACTCCTGTTCCAAAAGTAAGAACGCAACCGCCCGTTCGGGTTCACAACGGAAAAAAAAGCAAAACAGAATAAAGATATTAACTGGCAGCAAAAAGCTCCATTATGACACCATTCAAACAACAAAGAAACAAACAGATATTTTCAAAAATTGAATATGTGGCAGGTGCAATGTGTAGTCTCAGACAATAGACGGGATATTTCCGGAGGGCAAAATGTGGAACCGCCGGGGTCTCCTCAGCGGTGGCTGCCAACTCGTTCGCCGGATCCCTCCCATATTTGTGCTCCGGAATTCCCAAGCCTATCGTGGCATACTGTAGCTAGCCCTAATTGGGCTCTACACCCCAATTATGCCCCTAAACCCCATCCAAATTAGATCTAGACACTTACTTCATTTAAAAGCAGTTTTATTTTTGAAAAGACAGAACACTGCTAAAATTTTACTCAGGATTGAGGAGGTCAGCACAGACCGGCTGGACAAGACCCCAACCCCCCCCCCCTCCTCACCCTCTAGTCAATATTACGACCCCCTCCCTTCCCCTTCTATCACCTCACCCTCTTTCGCAAGCCTACACAAAAATCACATCTGTGACTGAACAGGCAACGAGGAAGAGAACAAGAGCAACGCTGACTGATACAAAATTTGTTCCCGTGTCGTAGCAATAACCTTTATAAGAAATGTTGACAAACATTAGTACAATGAAACTTGAAGCGCAGACTTCTCCAGCTGTCCAAGTAGCATTAAGTTTGACGCAGTGCCGGCAATTGTCGCTGATCCTCCAATCTGACGGCGAAACATACAGATATTAGAAGCCCTTTTGCCATTGAATGTTTACGCGTGAAAAGATTGCTCAAATCTCTAAAAATCTTAATTATCACAGACAACGATTCAATATGATATCAACTCTGGTGAACTTAGGTTTCTTGGGTATTGAAAACGACACATGTCGACACTTCGTCGACCGTTTTCCATGAATGCACTTTGGACAAAGCCAAAAGCTCGTGCATCCTACAAGAAATCGTGGAGGCACTTCTTACTTCTATGTTCTTATTTGCAGCAACTAAGAAAAAAAAACAGCCATTTAAGTTTGTTAAAAGTTGTGATCACATTGAAAGCAATGGATCAGCAGGTTTGTACTTTCAGGTTTTCATTGAATGGATTTTCATTAATTGGGTCTTCCAGTTACGCTTAATCAAAAGTTAATGAGATCCACGTCGCCTTTTTCTCGTTCCCATGAATAGCTCAAAGAGCGGGATCAGAGACGATCAACCAAACAAACAAAGGTACCGAAATGCGGTGTTTTCGGTACCTGGGCTTCGGAAGTCAGTCGTTTCTCAGAAAATTGCAGCCTCAGTTGTGCACACTGAGCAGTCTTCAGGCAAAAAGCAAGTCCCGCCCCCTTCTAGAAGCTAAGCGCGGATTTACACAAAGCACTATTCAAGTATGAAACATAACTCAAAGAGCAAATCTGCCAGCCATTGTCTTTGACTGTCTCGCATACCTGTGATTCGCCACGAGTTCAGTAATTACAGATCGCACATACCATCACAGATGTTGTGACTGTGCTTGTTATCCACATGCTGTAAATATATCAGATTTTTCACCATCACCTTCATTATTTGCCCACAAACCTTAGAAACCGTAATTGCCATAAAACCAGCCTTTACCCTAAATAGAAATGCAAATGTCGAAGTTACACGGAACGCTTACCATTTTGAATGTGATCTAACTACCCGTAGCACAAATAAAGCAATTCGGATGTGTAGATCCGATTTTTTTCAACAGCTACAGCGACCATTAAACCCCCAATGAAAAGAAACGAGGTGTCTTAGAAACCATTTGATTGACAAGTAGGAAATGCTTGATTCTCACTCACTGGTAGATAAGCTTGAGCAACTTCGTCTCTTTTCATTATTTCAAAGAAAGGCCAAGTAGTAAAGCAGTGATGGTCAGCGGCAAGCCTGAAATGCCACTTATTCGTTAGCTACTGCATCAAGCAATTTATGTCAAACATCCGATACAAACCCATTATTAAAACCATGTAACGCATTGCGCTTGATTGTGGTTCGAGCTCATTCATATTGCACAGAAAAGCACTGAAAAGTTGAATTTCCGTTTTCTTGGAAGTCCTCATCTGATGTTGTGGAAAACAGAAGAGGGGCAGAAGGTTGAACAGAGGTGCGCCGCATGCTACTATTGATGATCTATACACTTCCAAAAATCGCAGTATACCTTATACCTTTGAAAAGGTTTCAATGGGGGTGCTAGTCACCAGACAATTTTGGATTTATACATTGAGACTGAAATTACTTGCTTGATTACAAAGTTCACCAATAAAAATAAAATACAAAAAGCGCTCGTGGAACACTGCCCAGGTTTTCAATTCAGCCAAAGTTTCTGTACACGACAGCAGGGCTGTTAACCTTTCCAGTTCAAACAACAACTTCCCTAATTACTCACTAGATCAGATTGCTTTAGGCAAGAGGTGCCTTTCCCAAATCTCTCCCTCACATCCGTAATTACGACAGTACGATAGGTGCCAGCCTTATCCGATTCGACCGGTTTATCTCACTCACTTGCTATCGGTCAAATCAGTGAGATGACCAGTAGCAAATAGGGTAAAGATGAAGCGACTGAACCGGCTAAGCTGTTGAATAACGCCTATTCAGTAACCTCACAACAAAACCAATAATTTGGTACCTACCAACACATATAAAATCAAAAGGCACTTATCTCGATATGCTCCAAAGGTCCTGCTTGTCAAAAGGTTGGAGAGTTCAATCACACACAATAAAAGAGAGCTAAAAAACACTTCGCAGTGATCTGTGCTATCCCATGTATGAATACCACTAGAATCACCTCAGATTTTACGTTCCTGGAGAAGAGATAGGTGGTGTTGATGTTGATGCTTGCAAAGAGCGACGCTAGTGGAAGACGTGGAAGAACACTGGAAAAATACTATGTGAGAGTTGAGTAACAAAGACGTAACTGAACACAAGGGATGAGAATGAAACGGCATAATAAACGCTGCTGCAGGAAGGAGTGATTGCTATAACCAATCAATTTCAGCACGGAGACGCTACCGCTAACAGCGAGCATGATCTTGGGTGGAATGACTTTACTACAATAGAGAAAGTTAGAGATCATACATCGCCAAGACTAGCCCAGAAGAGCAAAAGGGCCCAAATAGCCCAAAAAACAAAAGCGTCAACCCCCCCCCCCCCCAAAAGTCCAAAAAAGCACAAGCGTCAAAGAGAGTCGAAGCACTGAATTGAACTTTAGAATTTTGCCATTATTTTGATGCGAAGACGACAGAAAATGGAGCAAATGATCGGTTGCGAAATCAACACATGCCTTAGGCTGCGTTCATATCGGTACCGATGTCTGGGAACAGTTCCAGCACAGCGCTCAATTTGAACACTGTACTGGAACTGTTCCCGAACTTCGGGATCAGTATGAACGCAGCCTTAGGCAAGCGCCATACTTGTACTTGATCCGCTTAATCCACTTGTCCATTTGAACCGCTTCGTCATTGGTCAATTCAGTGAACCGGCCAATAGCGAAGCGGCTGTCCACATGTTCCGCTTATTCTATCATCCATTTCACTACTGGTCCGTTTAGTGAATGGACTAATAACGACGCGGATCAAGCGGATCAAGTGGATTGAGCGGATTAAGTATGGCGCGTGCTTAGCGCCAAAACTCCTTAAGGGAAATACTCAAAAGGAAGGGCGTAAGCAAAACGGAAAAAATGGAAACCATTTTGACAAGGATCCAGAACTACAGACGGAGGCATTTGACACGGAATGTACCATTTTTGCAATGAGTAAGCA